GATGATTTTATATAAGGGGGGGACCCCTTTAAAGCCCCCTTTTTATTAAGAAAGTCCTAGACCCTTTTGCAAATTACTTATATTTAAGGCAGCAGCGTGCGTTACGTGTAGCAGCGACGTGCGTTACGTAAGGCAGCGACGTGCGTTACGTGTGGCAGCTTTACGTAGGTTACGTAGGTATATACTATAGCAGCCCAGCTGCTTTACGTATTACGTAAGGCAGCGACGTGCTTTACGTATGGCTGCTGGCAGAATTAATGGCGGTGGCTGAATTAGGCTTAGCTGTTGTACATGAATTAAACGGGCCGACCCGTTCCGAAAAAAGTTCAATAGATTGACATGGAGTAAAAGTCTTGGCACGCTCACAAATCCTGCCAGATCCGTATAGAAAATTTCACGTGATTGAATGACTAATCACCACCACAACTACTGGAATTTATCTTAGGTCACCGTTGGTGACAATTAAAGCTATAAAAATCTATAATAACGTGCTTTTATAAGCGTAAAAAGATCGAGAAAAGTTAAAGCAAACTAAGTCTTTTATCTCGAAATATTAAAGCTCGTTTGCAAGCGTAGCAATTGCGGCAGTACTAGTTGACGAATTTAACTATACCGTGCTAATAGTACTATGCTGCAAAAAGCTTATAAGTTTTACAAGAGCTAAAATGTGTCGTAAATACTTGGTCGTAGACTTTTCGAACGAGTAACGAGCGCAAGTTCTAAACGTCAAGAACTAATAAACGGCTATTATAAAGCAGCAAGTCGCTTTTCATAATAAGTTTAGCTTATGAACCGTAGTTTACGAATAAAGACTCAGCTTTAAAAGCTTAAATTCGAAGTGCTCTTAATCGGAAAAGAGCTTTGCTTAGAGTGCTTAACGAGCGTTAAAAGTCTTAAAAGTCATAAAGTACTTTAAGGCTTTATAATCGGTGATTACTTGAACTTAATAAAAAGAGCCGGCGAGTTTAGCGCGGAAGTTATTAAAAAAGCGTATAATAACTAGCATCTCTTTATCGTAAACGACGTAATTAAGCTTAACGGAAGCTATAGTTTTAAAATAATAAGCGATTAATAGCTAATCGGAACTATGCTTTTAAGAAAAGATTAAAGCGATTACGCCGTCGGAAGCGTTAGTTTCTAGTATATAAAAGAAGTTTTAGTTATAATGCTATAAGATTAGCGCAATAGTTAAAGCGAGCTTTAAAAGGTCGAAGCTCTTTTAGCATTAAGAATTAAATAAAAAAAGAACGTTAGGCTTAATCAAGTATATTAAAAGTTTTGCGATTACGCTATAGTCTCGAATGAATCGGCGATAAAAGTTATAAAATCTAAAAAAGCTTTAAACGCTTTTAACGGTTGTAAAAAGCGCTTAATGCTTTACTATCGAAGTCTTGTTCGGATTTACTTTTAAGCTTTCGATAAAGATAATAAAGCTTAAGTATTTTACTTTAATAATATTGAATTCGCACTTTTTAATATCAGCTTAAAAGCTAGCGTCGTCGAATCGTTAAAGAACCTAGCGAACGTAATAAGCGTGTTTTAAAAGGTCGAAAGAGTAGATCAAGATATCGTTTAAATATGCCGTATAAAAGATATTTAAAAAGTCGAAGAAAAGGTTATTTATATAGCGTTAATAAGTAGCGGGTCTATTAGTCAGTTCGAACCAGGGCAGAGGACCAAGTTCTCTGTAGTGTTACCAACGGGCTAATTACTCATTAGTATATTATTAAATTAGATTTTTATAAAATTAATAATTAGCCCGTTGATAATATTATATCGGACTTTATGTTTTGCTAAATATCAAACTTATCAAATAGATCGTAAAATAAAAGTAAATATATATAAAAGTATTATTATATTAAAAACTATCGAGTTTAT